ATTTTTCTTACTAATGGAAGGTAACTAATAGAAAGTTATGGTTCATGAATCATGATTTATTTACCGAAATAGCTGTCTGTTAGTCAAATTTATTGGTAGGATGTTTGTTTGACGATGCTAATATATTGGTTTGGTTCTGCAGTGTTGATGTTGTTAACTTGTTGTGTCATACTGCAAGAATTTTGCATCAACTCTTGTACATTATTTTTTCTATTTTAACCGATTTGTTAAGTAACATGCCTGTTGCTAATCATCATCTGTTTGTCTGCTTCAAAAATAGGTTCGCATATGGAACATGAAATCCGTGAGCAAAGACAACCAAAATGATGATTCCAACCAAAGATTGCTGGCTACAATGCGTGATCATTTCGGATCAGTAAACTGTGTGAGATGGGCCAAGCATGGACGCTATCTTGCTTCAGGATCAGACGATCAAGCTATCCTAATTCATGAAAGGAAAGCTGGTTCCGGTACATCTGAGTTTGGAAGCGGAGAGCCTGCAGATATAGAAAATTGGAAGGTCGTTATGACCTTAAGGGGGCATACTGCGGACGTGGTAATTATCTGCCAAAATTTCAGTCTAGCTATCTTTCTTCCAATTTATGGAAACCTGATAAAAATATTGATACTGTGATCTTTAATCTTTCCTATTAAACACATTCCTGTTTCTTATGCCTAAAGTAGGTAGATCTGAATGTGGTAATTATCTGCCAAAATTCCAGAGCTGCCTTTGTTAGTCTTTTGTATTAATCACGTATCTGTTTCTTATGCCGAAAGTAGGTAGATCTAAATTGGTCCCCTGATGACTCGACGTTGGCTAGCGGCAGCTTGGACAATACTGTTCACATTTGGAGCATGACAAACGGTATTTGCACTGCCGTCTTGCGGGGGCATTCCAGCTTAGTTAAAGGAGTTACTTGGGATCCTATTGGATCTTTTATTGCAAGCCAGTCAGATGACAAGACTGTTATCATATGGCGTACGAGTGACTGGAGTCTTGCTCACAAGACTGAAGGCCATTGGTCAAAATCCGTATGTTATGTTTCATGCCATTTTGTTATCAATTTACTGTTTCTGTGTCTGACACGTCTTTTGTTTGCAGAGAAGTCTTTCTTACTGAAAAATATTACTTTTCTGTGTTCCGCAGCTTGGTTCGACATTTTTTAGGCGGCTTGCTTGGTCGCCCTGTGGCCACTTCATAACCACAACTCATGGTTTCCAGAAACCTAGGCACTCGGCCCCTGTGCTTGAACGGGGCGAGTGGACTGCAACTTTTGACTTTCTGGGACATAATGCGCCTGTGGTGGTGGTGAAGTTTAATCACTCGATGTTCCGTAAGAATTTAGCTACTGGTCAAGACGCAAAGACGGCACCAGCTGGATGGGCCAATGGAGCATCAAAAACATCAGCAAAAGAATATCAACCATATAATGTTATTGCTATTGGAAGTCAAGACCGGACTATTACTGTTTGGACAACAGCAGGTGCCCGGCCATTGTTTGTTGCTAAGCATTTCTTCACTCAAAGCGTGGTTGATTTATCTTGGTAAGACACTTTAACCTTACATTTGTAACAAAAGATGTTGCCATGTGCGGCTAACGGTGGAACCATTTTTTCTCCCTTACAGGAGCCCTGATGGTTATTCACTTTTCGCGTGCTCTCTGGATGGATCAGTTGCGACCTTTCACTTTGAAGCAAAGGAGCTTGGATACAGGCTAAGTGATTCTGAACTGGATGAATTAAAGAGGAGTAGATATGGTGATGTCAGAGGGAGGCAATCAAATCTAGCTGAAAGCCCTGCGCAGTTGCTGCTAGAAGAAGCATCAGTGAAGCAATTGGCTGCCAAGAAGGCGACACCTATCGTCCAACAATATCAGGCACCCCCAAAAGTTCCTGCAGATGTACCTAAACCACCTCCTGTTGTGGTTGTGGAGAGTCAGAAAGCTCCTGAAACTCTACCTGAAGGCGAAAAGAAAACAGCAGGTCAAGCGGCTGATGACACGTCTAAAGTTACCCGGGTATCTAGTCCAGTAAAACAAAGGGAATACCGGCGCCCTGATGGTCGGAAAAGAATAATTCCAGAGGCAGTGGGATTTCCTTCTAACCAGGAAAACTTGTCCAACCGTCCTCAGAATCAAGTTGTTGATTTTTCATCCCTAGATCAGCGAATGCGCCCTGGAGAGAATGGAATAAGATCATCCTACGGTACCGGTAACTGTAACAATTGTGGAGTTAGGGAACGCTCTGGCATCACAGCAAGAGCTAACATTAGCGAGAGTCTTGTTATTCAAAAAGCTTCAGCTGGTACTGGCAGGGATGGAAGGTTGAGTGTTGAACACACTGGTTCTGTTGTTCCAGGCTTGCTGGCCTCCTCCTCTGAGCTCTCTATTTTTGTATTCAATAAGAAGGACAATGATGATTCTTTGCCAGTCTGCCTTGAAGCCAAGCCAGTAGAACGTTCTGCAGGTGATATGATTGGACTGGGTGGTTCCTTTTCAACAAAAGAAACCGAGATTAGATGTACAAAAGGAACAGAAACTCTTTGGTCCGATCGCATCTCCGGAAAAGTTACTGTCTTGGCTGGTAATGCAAACTTCTGGGCAGTTGGCTGTGAAGATGGCTGCCTGCAGGTAGAAATAACCCCTCTGGTGTACTTTTTTTGTTTCGTTGATTTTGTGTGTTTTCAGTTTTTTGAAGAATGTTAGCCCTAAACTACCCAATCAATTGTGTTCTGGTTTGATTAGGTTTACACAAAATGTGGGATGCGAGCAATGCCAGCAATGATGATGGGCTCCTCAGCTGTTTTTATAGATTGTGATGACTGCTGGAAACTATTACTTGTAACAAGGAGAGGTTTAATGTACATATGGGATCTCAATAACAGGACCTGCATCTTGCAAGATTCTTTGGCGTCTTTGGTTACCTCTCCAGATGAGGCATCAGCCAAAGATTCTGGTAAAACATTTACATCCAGTCCTTCCTCAGTTCACCTTGCTGCATCTCGATTAGTGTCTGATGCATGTTGTTTCTTGAAGTTGAACTTTCTTTCTTGCGTGACAGGTGCAGTAAAGGTTATATCTGCTAAGTTCTCAAGATGTGGTTCGCCCTTGGTTGTCCTTGCCACCCGGCACGCTTTCCTCTACGACATGAGCATGAAGTGCTGGCTAAGGATTGCGGATGATTGTTTTCCAGCATCAAATTTTTCTAGCTCGTTTAGTTCTACTCAAGGTGGAGAGCTAGGAAAGTTGCAGATTGATATAGGAAAGTTCATGGCTAGAAAGCCTGTTTGGAGCAGGTATGCAAAGCTCCTTTGGTTTATTTATTTAGTCTTATAGATGCTTGAAACTAATGTCTGTGACAAGCTGGGTGCCTATTGCACAGTATCCCAGAGTTTGTTCTGAATGTACCTGTGTGACTGTTTCCACCTCAGGGTTACAGACGATGGAGTGCAGACGCGGGCCCATCTTGAGACCCAGCTAGCAGCTTCGTTGGCTTTGAAGTCTTCACAGGAATATCGCCAATGCCTCCTATCCTACATTAGGTTTTTGGCAAGGTTAGCTCATTATATATCATTCAGCGCATCTGTACAGATTCTGCTCTCTTCACTTTTAGTATTTTCTGTAAGCATGAACTTTATCTGTTCAATTGGTTGAGAGATTTCGTCTTGAAGTAGTATCATGCTTTGCTGAAATCCTTCTTTCGCCTGCAGAGAGGCAGATGAATCTCGCCTACGTGAAGTCTGCGAGAGCTTTCTTGGCCCTCCCATGGGCATGGTTGGTGCTGTGTCTACCGATGCGAATAATCCGTCATGGGATCCTGATGTTCTTGTAAGGCTCTTTTTCTGTTAGATTCCATGGCATACATATGAATGTTTAGTTATTCCATAGACTGGTAGTTTCTGTTAGTTGCTACAGTCCTTCCTGTTACAGGTACCAGCTTCACAGAAGACAGATTATTTGAACCTTGGATTATACTCAATTTCTATATTAACTGAAGGGCTTAGAAACATTGAATTATATAGTAATTGTATTCGATTTCAACACCGGTGTCAGTTGCGCTCTTCGATTGATAAACTTTGCTGGTGGTTACTTTTGCAGGGAATGAAGAAACATAAACTTCTCAGGGAAGACATACTTCCTTCGATGGCGACAAACCGCAAAGTCCAGCGGCTGCTCAACGAGTTCATGGACCTGCTGTCGGAGTACGAAAGCGCCGCCGAGGAAAACGTCGACAAAATGGACGTGACGCCTCCAGCAGCAGATGCCAAGGTCGATAAAATGGACGTGACACCTCCAGCAGCAGATGCCAAGGTCGATAAAATGGACGTCACACCTCCCGCGACAGAAGCCAAGGACGCCACCGCGTAGCAAACAAACCCTTCCGGTCCGGTTTGCTGGCGATTTATTGACCCCTTGGTAAGCATAGAGAAAAAGTGCATACACCATAGTGTATTTTGAGAACTTTCTCGTGGTTGTTTTATTCTGCTTGTAGTTCCTAGTGTCCCCGCCTGTTCGTCAAGGTGTGACCTCGGCGGAATGACTTTAACCTGTTCGCTGTAACGCGGGTGTAACAACAGTAGAAAGAAAGCGAGGTCGCCTGATATGGTTCTGTAACAGTTTTATCCGTAGAAGGTCTTGAGGAACTTTTTTGGGTCCATAGGCGCAATGCCGTTTCTTATTGCGAGCAGGATGCACGGTGCATCCGCTTCCTTTTCCGAAGCGAAATGGTGTGTTCTCTTCTCGCTCATGCGTCATAGTTCGATGCTCGGCTTGGCTTACTCGATCTTTACTCGGAATAGAGTAGCGAATTTCAGTTGTTGAGGTGAGTGGAGCAGAAGCAAATGGAACAAATTTTGCACTTGCTTCTTGTATTTTGGAAGCTGCTTGTTTCAGGTGAAGCAGAAACAGGGGAGAACAATGGTGTTGGTTAGTGCTGCTTTCTGCTGGGTACTACTAGTAATGGTAGCTTATGTCTATCACAAAAAACATGGCCATGTCTTGTCAGGTGGAGAGGAAGCTCTTGACGGCGACCCTGAAGGTGCCGGCGACAGCAGCCCAGGCGGCCTGCGTCGGGTGCACGTCGTCCCAGTAGAAGTAGCGGCCGGGGTCGTCGCAGAGAGTGTACTGCCGTGTGCCGTTCTCATTCTCCTCGCCGCAGTAGCCGTCGGCCCTGAAGCTCTCGCAGCATGGCCGCAGCGTGCTCGCGAACCTGCTGCTGCTCTTGTTGTCGTCGTTGAGGAGGATGTCAGCGAAGGGGGTGTGGACGTCGAGGAGGAGGAAGGTGCGGTTGTTGGGGTCGAGGGCGCCGAGGACCGACCGGAGCGCGGCGTTGTGCTGGGCGGCGCCGGCGTTGGCCAGCGGGTCGCAGCCGGTGTAGTTGAGCAGGCGGGTGAATGTCGGCGTGCAGCCCATGGGGTGCAGGTTGGTCACCACCACCCTCCGCATCCCCGCCTCGTCGCGCAGCCGCCGGAGCTGCTCCCGGAGCTCCCGCACCACCGTCGGGATGTACGCGATCGCCGCCTGCACTCGGAGAGCAGAACAACTCCGTCAGTCAATCAGATATGGGCAGTAGCTTGACACCTGACAGCAACAGATTGTAGTAGCGGTTGTTGCATAGTGAGGACGTACGCTGGTGCCGTTGTCCTTGTCGGCGGCGGCGTAGGCGTAGTCGTTGCCGGAGACGACGACGAGCGCCGTCCGCTTGGCGCAGCCCCGCTGCTGCTGGCTGTGGTGCATGGCCTGGAAGAGGTCGATCTGGGCGCTGATGTTGCGCTGGAAGTTGCCGGTGTCGAGCACGCCGGCGCCGCCGACGGCGAAGTTCATGCCGCGCGCGAGGGTCTCCCGCGACGCCCGCCGCCGCGCCTTGTAGGCCACCGGCGTCCGCATCCCCAGCGCCGAAGCTGCACGCACATCGGCACATGCATATGCCACGTCAGACCAAAAATAGTTAAGTAGAAACACTACGCCAATGACAGTACAAAACACTCATCTCAAACATACTATCTCCCATTTCTCCGACAAGTATGAGTAGATTAGTGATGATCTCATGGTGTAGTATAACTACTATTTACCTGAATATTTCATGCGACTCGGTCACTTTCATCAGGACCACTAGATCTTGATCCAACGGCCAAAAAAATGCATTTTACTTCCTCCGGGCCCCTCTGCCATGCGCCGCTCTGCCCTCCCCATCGCCGCCCAAGTCATCCCTCTAAGCCACACCCCAATCAACAGGGTCGGCGACAAACCGGTCTCAAGTTTCGGACTCACTCCCGCCGGATCTCCTCATCCATGGTCGGCGCTCGCCACCGGTGCACCTCACAACATCCCGGCCTACGGCCTCACGCAGAGTAGAAAGTGACCGACGCTCAAATTGTTTTGAGGTTACCTGACGGTTAGCAAGCCTGCATAACTACTCCCTCCGTTCCCAAACATAAGCCTTTTTAGAGATTTCAACAAATGACTACGTATGGAGTAAAATGAGTGAATATACACTCTAGAATATGTCTACATACATCTGTGTGTTATATTTCATTTAAAATATCTAAAAAGACTTATATTTAAAAACCGAGGAAGTATAAATTAATCTAGCTTTTGTGCTGGAAAGGGGAAGATGCCAGGGGTGTGGCTGGAGCCGGGAATATCTTACTGTCCCTTTCTCTGACATGGAATGGAAGTAGTACCAAGGCATTAGTAGTTAGCAGATTCAGATTTGCTACTAGCCTTTAAGACTTTTTTGATTTATACAAATAAATAAACTAAATAATACTCTCTCCGTCCGAAAAAGTTTGTCTCTCAAATGGATGTATCTAGCACCAAGCACCAAGTTAGTGCTAGATTTATCCATTTTAAGAACAAAGTTGGGACAAGTTTTTTCAGACGGAGGGAGTACTAATGTGCATGGCGACTAATCAATCATCCTAAGCTATTGACTGACTGATCAGTGGGTGTAAGTAAGCTGATGAGAATAATCCGAGGAGCTTTTGTGCTGGAAAAGGGAAGGTGTCAGGGTTAGGTTGGAGCTGGGAATATCTTACTGTCCCCTTTTCTGACATGGAATGGAAGTACTCCTACTGGTTGTTAGCAGATTCAGATTTGCTAAGTAGCTTTTGACACTTTTTGATTTTGTACTGACTAAACAACGTGTATGGTGCACATGGTAGCACGTAGTCAGTACGAGAAAGATCTCGCTAGCTTAGCATAAAGTTTGGACCCTCGTATCTGGCGAACGTTTGCCAAGAACGGGCGGCATTCCGAACGAGTGTCGCTCCGAAGAAACTGCCACCCCGCATACACTAAAAATGCCATAAAAATCGTTCAAAATGTCATATGTTCCTGGTGAACGTTTGTCGGGTAACATTTAAAGTTCCCTGGCGAAACAGAGCATTGCCATTGCCTGAGAAATATGCAACACTATAGTGGTGTTTATATGTCAAATTGCATGAGTAGCATGACTCCTACCTGATACATTATGAGGATGGTAGTGTAGCCGAGTGTGATGCGCCACCACCCTATGAAAAAGCCTATGTAGTACGGTCAGCTCTCAGCTGGTTTGAAACAAAAACGTCGGTCAGATTATGAAAGCTCCTGCCGGCGCTTCAGACAAGCTGCGTAGCACATCTGATCTGACCGGACAAGCACTGGAATCGATGGATGTGTCATGTGTGCATGCTATACATTGTTATGCTCAGCCTTCATCAGCTTACACTCAACAGAAGATAGGAAATATATACTTATTTTGTTTCGTATGTAATCCGTAGTGAAATCTTTAATGGGGCTTATATTTAGGAATGAAGGGACTATATGCTAGTTTAATAATGCATATCGATCGATCATGGGTGAAGCCAGGAGTGGGCTTGAGTCGTGACAAGACGACGGTAGTCGGTGAAATGTTGCTACACACGCACGAGGTTGGGCGTGCAGATGCATGTGCGCGCGCATGCACACTGATGAATTTAGCTCCATGTGTGCATGCATGGGTACACCATACAGATGCATGGAAAGAGGAATGGCGGCATGTGTCCATTTTGCCGGCGACATGCAACGCATGCAGCTAGCGTATGGCCAAGATGGGTGATCATGTTGCACCCAACCGTGAAGACCGATATGTTACCAAAATGAAATGAAAAGAAGAAGATGAAAATGCAAGAGGATTAGTTACCGGCCGTCTGGCCATGTATAGTAGAACTCAACGAATTAGTACCCCTAGTTACTCCACCGTTTCTTTTTTACTTCGCGTATAAGATTTTTCTGAAGTCAAGTTTCAGAAATTTCGACCAAATTTATATTTAGAAATGCCAACATCTCCAATATTAAAGTTATATGATGCGGAAATTAATTCGACGATGCATCTAATAACATCTATTTGGAACTACTATTGTGAATGTTTGATATTTTTTTTTACATAAACACGGTCAGACTTCAAATAAATCTTATATGCGAAATAAAAAGAGATTAGGGAGTACTCCGTCGTCCACCCAACGATTTGGACACGACCTATCTGTGTATGTATCAACCAATCAATGCATTGGCGAGCGAATTCCATGGACAGCTTGATTTCTGCGTCCATCTATCTATCTATTGGACTTCATTTGGACCCAACGACCAACTGCATACTACACATGTATTTACTCCGTCCACTGCACCGCACAGCACCGCCGTGCCACGTCTTCTCCGGCGAGGCGAGCGTCCGGAGTAGTAATCGACGGCGAGGACTAGCGAAGGAGGAGCAGGGTGTGGTTAGTGGACTTACCGACGAAGTCTGTGAGGACGCGGCCGTCGGAGAATCGGCCGGCGGGGCGGCGCGGGAAGGTCTTGCCATATGGGTCGTACCAGGCGTGGGTGAGCTCCCGCCCCAGGTTCCCCAGGTTGCCCGTGTCCGCGTACGAGTCGCCGAACACCCACAGCTCCTCCGCCACCTCATGCTTCCGATGGTGACGACCACGACTCCTCCCCTGCTGCTTGCTCGCCCGCTCGCCGCCGGCCGGGCACCCGTCCGCCGACGCGGCCGAGGCAGCGGGCAACAGCGCCCCGACCAGCAGCATCGCCAGGCCTTCAGTTCATCAGAGAGACAGAGGGCAAATCAATGAGTGGAGTCAGAGAAGCAGAGAGCGAGAATTGAAGTGAGCCGGCGTGGTTAGCTGATGAGCAATAAATGGTCTCTTTTATGGCTAGGATGGATCGACTGGCTGCTTACAGAGAAGGGCCCCGGCGGCGGCCACCGACGGCGGGCGGCTCCGGCGGTGCTCCATGGCCGTGGAGGTGTGGTATGTGGCCGGCCTCGACCGCTTCGCGACTGTCTGTCTGATGCCCCTATGAGTGATGGCGCGGTTTGTGGTGTGGGAGGTGAGGGATATGGGCCTGTGCCGGAGAGGAAGCTTTATAGTCGGCGTACGTACGCCATACATCTCCGGCCGCTATGACTGGAATGGATGGAGACACTCTAGCAGTCAGTGGACACCGCCATTATTCCTTCCTCGAAACCATAAATAATGTCAGCACCTCATGCGTGATGCGTGTATATCTGAATTTCTCCATGCATGGGCTGCATGGTCAACACCTGTACACGCTATACGTATGAGACGACGCGGTTTTCTTTAATTTGTATGTATACATGTACTCCCTCCATTTCTTCGGAGCATAAGATTTGTCTGAAGTCAAACGACTGAAGTTTGACCAAATATATGATGCATATAATGGTATTGATTCAGTATTGTGTGTGCTGATATTTTTTCTATAAAGTTGGTCAAATTTTATGAAGTTTGACTTTAGACAAATTTTATATTAAAAAATAGCAACATTTATAATACTAAAGTTGTATAGTAGGAGTATGAAAAATAATTTTATGATGCATCTAATGATATGGACTTAGTATTGTCGGTGTCGATATTTTTTGATATAAAATTAGTCAATGTTTACAAAGTTTGACTTCAGACAAATTTTATAAGCAGACTGAAAAGGGACGGAGGGAGTATGTCTTTAATTATCCTTATTATTGTATATCTTCAAATATGACTATACTAGTAGTACTTTTTTTGTGTTGTATATACACGCCAGCGAGACGGTTCCCTATATTTGGCTCTATATATACGTTTTCGTGTACGTACGTACCCAACCAAAATGACTGCTGCCTGTCCAGCTATGCTCAGGTCAGGTTGTATTAATCACGCTCGCTGGGTCTGACCGGCCGATCTGGACAGCCAACCGCCACCGAAACGGCCGGCCCACCGTCGCCGTCGTGCTACAGCGAGCCAGCCTGCAGCCACCCCCCGTCGTCAGCCACGGTTGGACGTACACACGGCTCCGGCCTCCGGCCATGGACTGCTGCATTAACTCTGAACCGTCGTCTCTCTGCAGCCGCGTCAGTCGGGCAAGAACCAGTGTCAATGGAAGTCGTATCATGATAGTTTTACCCCGTTGAGCGAGTAGCAGTAGCGGTGGGTGGTTTCGTGTTCTTTGTAAGATCAAACTTGCTTTCGTTTAGCCCTTCTTTTATCAAAAAGAAAGTTTTACCGCATTTTGTTTCAGTTTTAGGCAGCAGATTTTCGCAGGAAAAATTAGAAGCTTAATTTTTCTTTTATAACCAGCTTTGCTAGTGAAGTTGAACTTGGATTCCGACTATTTTCGGTGCAGTTACCTAAAGCACGCCCCCAATGTACTTCAGTGGCAATCATCTTTGCCGGTGAGGCGAATTCATATGTGATTCAAAGTCGATTCCAACTGAAAACAGCAATGCCTTAAGTCGACCACAGTAGTTTCTCTCCCCTTCACTCCTGTGCCTCGCCTCCGGTGAGTTCTTCTTGTCCGAGCCCTCGCCGACGACACCGCGGTGTCATCGTCTCGCTTTGCTTCCGTCAAATACGACGAACAGTCGATACGAAAATGTTCCCCTTCTGGATTCGATGTTGACACGGTTGAAGGATCGGGTTGGAGCAGTCCTTCGAGATCTTAATGGTATGTTTTTTGTTTTGTTTTGGACATAACAGAAAGTTCATCGCTGCAGCAAACGAAAAAAATTGATACTTGCTTGGAGTCTGGTTTTTTTATAGAAGTTTCTCCCTAAATATGTAATTAGTGTTATAGTAGGAGTACACACTAGAAAAACTCGCAAGTGCCCCTCTATACTTTTGGGATCACTTAGATGTGAATATATTTTTATTTTCTTTTTATGATCGATTGTGTCACTTAGATGTGCAACAACCAAACCACATATACACTCGCAAGAACTGTTAAGATGATTCCATTCCTGTGTCAGCAGGAGCTAGCAAGTCAGAAGAAGCCTCCAAGGACGCACATGTTTATTCTCCTCGCTCGCTCTGACACAGCCTAAATAGTCCGAATAGACCAGCGGCAGAATCTTAGCTTTACGAGATGCATGCTCCGCGTATGTATGCTGCATCGTCTGTTCGTCCCAGCCACCCACAAACCCACCTAATAAAGCTGCTATTATCACTAATTTGGCCTGTTATTAGTTCAGTTTAGTCAGTGCCACTGTCAGGCGCCGCGTGCTTAAGCGGCGGTGCATGCTAGCAATGTCGGTACACGTACGTGCTTCCAAAGTTGACCAGCACTGACGTGTCCTGTTTCAGACAAAAGGATAGGAGATAATCAACACGTACTGTAGCTTGCGTGGAGACTGACGCGTGGGCATGCTCTGCGTTCAGAATCTTTTTTTGGATTTTACTGTTCACCGGATACATGTGAGCTCGGGATCCTGTTTCAGACAAAAGGATAGGAGATAATGCCAAAAATATTTTTTAATGCTTTGAAAAATTCTAAAAGAAATTGTGAATGTTCACAATGAATGTGGCTACAAGCACTAAAAGTTTCAAGTCCAAACTCGAAACACATATTGAGAAACAAAAATGTGAAATCTAGTATGAATAGCGTAAAGAAGAGACAAAAGCAATATTGACACTATGATTTGTCTTTTTTGTTTCTCAATGTACATTTTGATTTTGGACCTGAAATTTTTAGGGAATGTAGTGAGATTTCTTGTGAACATTTTCATTTTTTGGAATTTTTTGAAACATTTTAAAATATATTTTGTCTTCCCGTATATGCCACATCCAACACCTCCTTGATCTTCATGACAGCTTCCTCAATTCTTTTACAATCTTGTTCTTTCAACAAGATGCTCGAGTAACCTAACTCTACCAAAGTCCGCAAAGCCTACAATTTTTTAAAACATAGGAAAGCAGTCATGCTCACACTAGTAGAAAACAGAGCTTTAAAACCGGTTCGTAAGGACCTTTAGTGCCGGTTTCATAACCGGCAGTAATTGGTGGGCACTAAAGCCCCCCCCCCCTTAGTACCGGTTCGGCACGAACCGGCGCTAAAGTGCCACCACATGGCGTGAGCTCGCGCCCTGGTATGGGGGACCTTTAGTACCGGTTGGTGTTACCAAACGGTACTAAAATATTTTTTTTTGAAAATTTTGGAATTTTTTTTGATTTTTTTTTGATTTTTTATTTTTCTGAATTATTTGGTGATTTAGTCTCTAATCACCTCTCTTAACTACTCAAGTGTGGATCACTCATTTCAAATCATCTAACTTCCCGACCGGTCACCCATCCCTCTCACTACTCCAGCCCGAGCACGCTTAACTTTCGGGTTCTATTCTCCTTCATTTCCAAGTCTGCACTTGTTATTTTCCTTACAATAGTAAGATGTCAATCCTATTAATCCTCAGGAGTTTAGCTTGAGCATGAAGTCACATATTTCACTGTTTTGAGTTTGAAACTATTATTCTAAAAAACAGTAATTATTTAGTAACACTAATATTTCTTGAATAAGTTTGACCATAGTTTGACCAGATTTGACCAAAATTCAAAAAAAAATTGAAATAATTATTTAGTAACACTAATATTCTTGAATAATTATGTAGTAACATTAATACTTCTTGAATAAGTAGTTTGATCAGATTTAACATTTTTTTTTAAAAAACTTAAATTTGACCATATCTTTTTTTCCTTTTGGAATTTGAGGATTCTAAAAAATTTGATGCAACTAAAATTTCATCCGCATCCGATTCGTTTCCACCCATAGATGAACCCTAACTAATTTGATGCAACTAAAATTTGAAGAACCCTAGGCAGAGGTAGGGGAGGGGGAGGAGCAGGCGTGCTCACCACGGGTGCTTGCGGCGAGGGAGGGGCAAAGGCGTC